CCAACAAAGAAAGTTTCCCTCCATATATAAACCTTTCCTTGACCCTCCACAACAATGAACTAATACTATATTTGTGCTTCTGTGATTGACTTATTTCACTCAGCATAATGTCCTCCAAGTTAATCCATATTATGGATGTTTTGCAGTCTCTACATTATTCTTTACTGCTGCATAGGATTCCATTATGTGTATGTATCATAGTTTAGTCATCCACTCTTCTGCTGATGAGCACGTAGGTTATTTTCCATCTTTTTGCTATTGTAAATAGTGCTGCGATGAACATGAGTTATATATAACTATATATCGGTTCCTGTCCCGGCTCTCACCTCTCTAGGATATATACCTAGTAATGGGATTGCTGGGTCAAATGCTATCTCCAATTTCAATTTTCTAAGGAATCACCATATTGCTTTCCACAGTGGTTGTATCACTTCACAGTCCCACCAGCAGTGTATAAGAGTCCCAATCTCTCCACATCCCTGTCAGCATTTGTTATTTTGTCTCGTTGTACCTTGCCATCAGTGCTGGGGTGAGATAGCATTTCATAGTTGTTTTGATTTTCATCTCTCTGATGGCCAATGATTGTGAGCATCTCTTCATGTATTAGCTGGCCACCTGAACATCCATCCACCTTGGTGAAGTGTCTATTCATGTCTTCTGCCCATTTTTCAATTGGATTGTTAATTCCTTTGGTATTGAGGCATTGGAGTTTTCCATCAATCTTAGAGATAAGTTCCTTGACAGATATGTAATTATTGGCAAATATAAATTTGTTGCTGTCATCTTTGTTATGTGCTTTTTTGTGGTTTTGATTTATCTGTTCCATATCATTTTCTATGCTGAGCTCCTTTTGTTTATGAATCATGTTATCACTTCCTTCGTTGCTATTATTTTAGTATTTGCTACATATTTGTGCTGGTCCTCTTTTTTATTTTAATGTGAAGGTTTATCATTTTTCTTTGAGGTTACCCTGATTTAGTTTTCTTCCCAAGTGTAGAACAGTCCATTCTATCTTATAGTTGTCTTGACATCCCTACCATCTAGAAGTTCTGTAACTACACAGTTTTTTCCCTCTTTTTGGTTTGTAGTTGTCCTCATTTGTCAATTGATGTCTCTGGTTCCCTGTTTACATTCTTGTAGGCTTATTTACCATG